AAACTCTCTGAGCCCTGGTTGCCACAAAATGACAAGGTTGGGCTGAATCTTCCTGAGAATTCAGCCCTGATCATGTTTTAGGAACTCATGAAGCTCTGTTGAACTGCAGAAAAGGTCCTGGAGCGAAAAAAGGGACGTGGGGGAGTTAGGGAATGGAACTCCAAGGGAAGGGCGAAGGCAGCTGACGGTTAGGAGCCACCCCTGTGTGTTGGGGTAGCACTGAGCGCTTGACCCTCATCACTACTTGTGGTTCCCTCTCCCGCCTGCTGAGAGACGAGCTCGTATTATCCAGGCAGGAATCAATAGAGCAGGACTAGCACCCAGGCCTGCAAAGACCCAAGTATGTCCTCAAGAGCAGACAGGTGAGTGTGTTTGCAGGGGAAGGATTATGAATGACCTTTTCCCCACTTCTTTTGGTTTTCACTCTAATCACAAAAGTCCTACAAACTTATACTAAATTCTAACAATGTTTATATTTTAAGTGAGCATCTTATCCCCACCTGGCTAATTCTGCTCCAAACAGGGGTAAGCTCTATTAACGTTTTCACGAGGTTCCTTCCAAGTTTTTTCCACGCCTCTACATAGGATTATACAAAGTAGGATTTGCTCATCATTTATTTACGGCCTGCTGACAACGGTATTAATAGGCACATTTATCAAGCACTTCCTGAGGCCAGGTTCTGCACCAGGTGTCCTCAGACAGTGGTGAACAAGAGACCCGGCTTCTGCTCCAGTGGGACGTTGGAAACACTCTGCAACTTGCCACATTCCCCACTCACCAAGTTACCAGTCACCCCACTCACCCCACTTACATCCTGGACTGTCGTCCAAATCATCAGGTCTACCACACTTTCAAAACGGAAAATCTCGTTGCGTTTTAGAAGCAGATTGCCCTTGACTCAAGTCAATCTTGTACTGATGAATGTTTAGGTTATTCCCAATTTTTTGCTCCTACAAAAAGAAAAAAAAAATCCACATTTTTAATGCACCCCATGCTGGCATTTACAAACATTTTATAGATTCCTTGAATGGAAATGTTTATTTTCTCTGGGCAATAGTCTTTTCCAGGTAGGAAGCAGGAGCTGGGACGTTTTGGCCTTGGGGGAGCAGGTGGCAGATTCAAGTAGGACTAGGGGGCGTCCTCGACCCTAGAGGGGATTAAGCAGGAAAAGTGGCCGAGGTTCTCCCTTTCCTTCTCTGCAGAACTGAAGTCTCAATAGAAAGGGCACATCCTGACCTTGAAAATTCCCCTTCAGTCCTGTCTGATGTCCCATGAATGCGCGCATCATCTGCTTATCAGGATAAGTGGCCTCTGTCCACTGAGATGAGGAGGAAGGCGTAACCAGGAGGAGGATCAGGTTCGGGCGGAGGATACACAGCAGCTGCTGGTACCACAAAGTGCTGGAGCTGCTGACATGGGGCTCCATGCCCTGATGCCCAGGAAACCCAATGCCAGCTCTCTGGTCCCCCAGGGCCAGGCTCAAGGGGGACAACTCTGTTTCCCCCACCGGCGGTTACACTGAGCCTGACTCTGTGCTTGGTGCTCAATCCATACCCCCTAGAATGGCCTGGTTACTGACAAGAGTTAATTACACCCAGAATGCACACGTGGTGGCTGGGCCCTTGGAAGGGACCATCCTCCCCAAGGAAAGGGACCTGCGATCCTGGAAGGAGGGCCAATGAGGTGCTGTGGGAGTCCTTCCAACTATTACAGCAACGGGAGTGGGTGTGAGGAGGCATTCTGGAGCAAGCGAGCCCACGAGTGGGATGGAGGAGTGGGGAGAACTTGGATAAACACAGAGAGGAGGGGAGGGAGGCAGACAAAGATAAAAATCCTAAAGCGGTGCCTCATCTGTGCTATGCAGGGACGTGCTAGAGCCACCTCTGGCCACTTGAGGAGAGCCACTGTGTGTCCCCAGACCCGACATACAGCTTGAAATCACGGGAGTCCCTGCCCATGGCAATCAGCAAACACTGTAAACCAGGACTTTTGTTTTTCAGCTGGTTTCCCTGCGTGTGACTCTGTGTAAGGCACTCTGTTATTATAGAAATCCGCAAAAGCATGTAAGCAGGAGGATGACCCGGTCACGTGTGCATTTGTAAACGGGTCGCTCTGGGGTCAGTGCGGGAGGCAGAGTTTGGGACAGGAATGGAAGCAAAGAGACAGCAAGGAGGCTCCTCCAGCTGTCCAGACGAGTGACGATGTGGAAAGGAGCCAGGGGACAGATTCTATTCAAGAGGGAGATTTGCCTTGGCGACTGGTGGGATGTGGGGCCAGGGGTGGGGGAAAAGGGAAGCGCCAAGGCTGTTTGAGCTTAAATGATGAAAAGCCTTTCTTCACTTGGCAAATGTCTGGCCTTCTCCACCTGATCTCCCACCTTCCCAGAGGAGAAGATATGTGGGGTTGTTTCTCAAAAAGTGCAAGGGACTGGTCTGGTGCAGGCTGGCAGGAGAAGGGGAGATCTCACCCTTAGCCAAAGGGCCACAATTTCCTCCTCTACCACCTCTTCTCCTTTCCTTATCTTCTCTTCCTCTCTCTCCTCTCCTTCCTCCTCACTCTGCATCAAAGCCCTCATAAATCTGAGGCAAAGATATTCATGAGCCCAGCCCCAGCCCCTAGCCAACAGCTGCCCCAGCGCTGCCAGTCCAGCCCCATCATTTGCATCTCCAGCCCCACAGACACAGACACAGACACCCAAGGTTTGTGGGCAGTGCCTGCCCTTAAATCTCTGCCAGACATATTTCTGAAATAATCCTCTCCCTGTGCTGTCTGCTTGGGGCATAAAATCTGGGAAATTTGAGGAAAAAGATATGGGCTGGCTAAAGAGAAAGAGCACTGGCTGTAGAGTCAGACAGACATTGTGGGGGAGCTTGGCTCTGTCCCTGGAACCTCTCAGAACCTCAGTCTCCTCCTCTGAAAAACGGAGCTGCACTCTCCAGCTCAGAGGATTGTTGTGAAAATGAAATGGAGTGGAGGGGTGGGGTGGGCCCCCCACATGGAGCCTGACAGCAGCAGGCACCCACTCCGTGTAGTTGGTCAGGGGAGAGAGTGTGGATTCAGGAGACTGCCAGGCCTGGAGTCTGGCCAATTAATTCCCTCCCACTGGCTCTGTGGTATGAGCCTCTGGGCTATTTACCTAACCTCTGTGGACTATAATCTCCACCTTCACGGTTATTGTCTTCAGCTAGCAGTTAGCCTCCATGACTCAGAGGCCTTATCTGTAAAATGGGGCAATGCTGTCTGCTCCTCACAGAGTTTAGGTGAAACCCAGGCTCACATAAAAGAGCTTTGAGAAGCCTTCACACTATGCAAATAAATGCAAGCTGTAATTCAAAAAAAAATCTTTTCTGTATTTTGGCTGAGGGAGGAAGAATATGTAAGGCATAGACAACACTATTTGCTGCTGTTCCCAAGCCCAGACCACTAACACCAGCAAATACCCGTCATGTCGACACCCTGAGCACATATCTGCTGACGCCCTACTATCCAGTCACTGGATGCACAGATATGAATGCATAGCCCTGATGCTTGGGCCCCACACCCTGGACCACACCGACAGTGGACAAGTTACACCAACCAGCACGTCAGCCAGAGGACAGAGCCAGATGCCTCAGGAGCACAGAGCATGGCAGCTAACTTCAGAGAAGCCGACCCAGGACAGCCTGAGCTGATAACCAGTGAACACAGACGTTAGAGTAGCGGGCAGAAGGAACAGCAGATGCATCGTGGTTTGGGTTCCCTCGAAAAGCAGACCCTGAGATTAGAATTTGGGTATGAGGGGTTACTTTGGAGGTAATCCAGGGAAGTAAGACAGTCATCAGCTCAGGCTGCTACAACAAATTACCATAGCTGGAGTGGTTTATGAACAACCGAAAC